AGTGCATCAAATCTATTCTTGAGATAGTCTCTAAATTCAGGTGGGATATACTCAAGGTTGTACTTTGGCTCTCAAGGACTTATTTTAATTTTCTTTGGCTTCAACTTGAACTTGCATATGAGCAGTTGATGGTCTGTTCCACAGTTGGCCCCTGGCCTTGTTCTGACTGATAATATTGAGCTTTTCTGTTGTCTCTTTCCACAGATATAGTCAATTTGATTTCTGTGTTTTCCATCCATTGAGGTTTATGTGTATAGTCACTGTTTATGTTGTTGGGAAAAGGTATTTGCAATGAATAAGTCATCAGTTTTGCAAAATTCTATCATGCAATCTTCTGCGTCATTTCTTTCACCAAGGCCATATATCCCAAGTACTGACCTTTCTTCTTTGTTTCCGACTTCTGCATTCCAATCACCAGTAATTATCAATACATCTTGTTTGCATGTTTGATCAATTTCAGACTGCGGAAGTTGGTAAAAATCTTGAATTTCCTCATCTTTGGCATTAGTGGTTGGTGTGTAAATTTGTGTAATAGTTGTATTACCTGGTCTTCCTTATAGGTGTATGGATGTTATTCTATCCCTGACAGTGCTGTACTTCAGGATAGATCTTTTTTTTTTAATTGTGCTTTAGGTGAAAGTTTACAGCTCAAGTTAATTTCTCATTCAAAAATTTGTACACATATTGTTTTGTGACATTAGTTGCAATCCCCACAATGTGACAGCACCCTCCCCCTTTCCACCCCAGGTTCCCTGTGCCCATTCATCCCATTCCTGTCACTTCCTCCCTTATCCTGTTTTTGGGCAGGAGCTGCCCATTTGGAGGATAGATCTTGAAATGTTCTTTTTGTCAGTGAATGCGACGACATTCCTTTTCAATTTGTCGTTCTCGGTCTGATTCAAAATGGCCAATACCACTCCATTTCAGCTCACTGTTGCCTAGGATATTGATTTTCAAGCGTTCAGTTTCATTTTTGACACCTTCAGTTTTCTTAGATTATACTTCTTACATTCCACATTCCGATTATTAATGGAACCAGTTTTATAGAGCTGGAATTATAGAGTATGTACTCTTTTTGTTTGCTTACATGACTTGTTCATATATAGAAATATGATTGTTTTTGTATATTGATCTTTTATCTTGCAACTTTGCTAAAGTCACTTATTTATTCTAGTAGCTTTTTTGTAGATTCTATTCTATTTTCTATATAAATTTTTATGCTATCTAGGAATAAATACACTTTTAGTTCTTTCTAATCTGGATGCCTGTGTATGTATGTATATATGTCTTGTTGCCCATCACGCATCTGTCAGCTTGCTGTGCTGTGGTGGCTTGCGTGCTAGAAGCTGTGCCTCCGGTATTTCAAATACCAGCAGGGTCACCCATGGTGGACAGGTTTCAGTGGAGCTTCCGGACTAAAACAGACTTGGGAGAAGGGACCAAGTGGTCTACTTCTCAGAAAATTGGCCAGTGAAAACTTTATGAATAGCAGTGGAACATTGTCTGATATTATGCTGGAAAATGAGCCCTTCAGGTTGGAAGGCACTCAAAATAGGGCTGGAGAAGAGCTGCCTCCTCAAAGTAGAGTCGACTTTAATAACATGGATGGCATAAAGCTTTGAGGACCTTCATTTGCTGATGTGGCACAACTCAAAATGAGAAGAAATAGCTGCAAATATCCATTAATAATCAGAATGTGGAATGTATGAAGTATCAATCTAGGAAAATTGGAAATCATCAAAAATGAAATGGAACGCATGAAGATCAGTCTCTTAGGCATTAGTGAGCTGAGATGGACTGGTATTGGCCATTTTGAATCAGACAATCATATGATTTACTGTGCCAGGAATGACAAATGGAAGAGAAATGGCATTGCATTCATTGTCAGAGAGAACATTTCAAGATGTATCCTGAAGTACAACGCTGTTGGTAATTGGATAACATCCGTACATACATCTAGGTTCTCAATTCCATTCCATTGGTCAGTGTGTCTGTCGTACCTGTACCAGGCTGTTTTGACTACTATAGCTGTATAATAGGTTCTGAGGTCAGATAGTGAGAGTCCTCCTACTTTATTCTTTTTCTTCAATAGTGCTTTATTTATCTGGGACCTTTTTCCTTTCCATATAAAGTTAATGATTAGTTTTTCCATCTTGTTAAATACTTTTGTTGGTATTTAGATCAGGATTGCATTGTATTTGTAGATTACTTTGAGTAGAATTGACATTCTCACAATGTTGAGCCTACCTGTCCATGAGCGTAGTATGTTTTTCCATTTATGTAGGTCTGTTTTGTTGTCTTGCAGTAGTGCTTTGTAGTTTTCTTTGTATAGGTCTTTTATGTCCCTGGTTAGATTTATTCCTAAGTATTTTATTTTTTTAGGGGCTATTATACGCGGTGTTGCTTTCCTGATTTCCTTTCATAGTTCTCTTTATTGGTATATAGGAATCCAACTGATTTTTGTATATTTATCTTGTATTCTGCTACTCTGCTGAATCTTTCTATTAGTTTCAGTAGTTTTCTCGTAGAGTCTTTTGGGGTTTCTATGTATAATATTATATTATCTGCAAATTGGGACAGTGTAACGTCTTCATTACCAATTTGGATGCCCTTTAGTTCTTTTTCTTGCTTTATTGCTCTAGCTAGGACTTCCAGCACAATATTAAATAGGAGTGGTGAATAAAGGGCATCCTTGTTTTGTTTCTGTTCTCAGGGGGAATGTTTTCAGCTTCTCTCCATTAAGATTGATGTTGGCTGTTGGTTTTGTATAGATGCCCTTTATTATGTTGAGGAATTTCCCTTCTATACCTATTTTATTGAGAGTTTTTATCAGGAATGGGTGTTGAACTCCATCAAATGCCTTTTAATTGTAAATTTTATCTTGGTAAGTGCTGAATATTTTTGTATTCTGTTAACTTTCTTGAGCTTTGTTCTTGAGTCTTGCTTTTAATCTTTGTTAAGTGGAACCAGAGCAGCCTTTAGAGCTAATTTTTCCTTAACACTGAGGCAAACCCTTTGTAGTACTCTATTCAGTGCCCCATGAATTAATAAGGTTTTCCACTTTGACTGGTGGGAACAGTCACTATACCCTGCCCAATGTAAGTTCCAGATACTCTTCCCTCTAATCCTTTCAGCTGGTTCTTCCCCAGCTTCAAGGAGTTTCCTCACACATATGCTCTGATCAGGACTCAGCTGAATTATGAGAAGGAGATTAACTGCAAATCTGTGGAGTTTTTTCTCTGTGCAGCTCTGTCTTCTCTTGTAGTCTGCTCTGTGAACTCTAGCTACCTTGGCCTACTTGAACTTCCTGCTTCATCTTTTCAATTTAGGGGGACTGTTAGGCTCTGCTTAGGTTCCCCCTCTTTGCACTGTGGTTTGGAAACTATCTAGGCAATAAACTGGAGTAGTTGTAGGAATTACCTTATTTGTTCCCAAATCTCAGGGATCACTGTCTTTCATTACCTAATGTTCAGCATGTTGAAAGCATTTTTTCCCATACTTTGTCTACTTTTTTAGTTGTTGTATATTGGAGGGTAAATCTAGTTCCTGTTACTCCATCTTGATCTCAATCAGAAGTCCCAGGTTTATATTTGAAAGGAATAAATTTGTATTTAAAAAAATATATTTCATAAGTTAGATTTTATTATTTCACTATATACCTCTTCCCCCAGTTACTGCCAACTGATAAAATTTTACTGTTGCTTTTATCTAATCCATTTCTTACTCACCAAATAATTTAAGTGTTAAAATAAAAATAGACTCCTCCCAACTAAAAATAAAAAATGAAATTAAAAAATCTCAAGTTTTGAAATTATTCACTGCAGAGTAAAAGTAATGTTTATATCTACTGCCCTTTGGTTTGTATTGCTGAAAAGCATTGCTGTAGGGGAGATGAGGAGAAATATAAGGTAATTTAGTCTGAGATGTGCTAAAGGAAGAACAGCTGACATACCCATTTTATAGGTTGTATTCCAGTTTAGTAAGTAAATATTTTCACAGATATTTATAGTTTATTTTTTTGCATTCCAGATAATCCAGCAAAAGAAAGATGAGCTTCATCTGTGGACTGCCGTGTGCTACGAGAAACTGTGTTTTCTTTAGATTTAATTCACTGGCCAGTTGGAGAAAATATAACACATTAAGTGTAAGCTTGCAGGGCCGTCGAGTACAAATGAGCTATATAGTAAATAAGTATCAGGGACTGAGAGTAAGTCAGCGTGATAGGTTTACTTTTCTGCCTGGAAACTTTCATTTCTATAGGACTTTTAATAACAAAATAACAGGGTGCCTCGAGAGTACCAAAAGTAAGGAAATTTGGAGGATTACCTGCAGATGTACTTCATGGAATGACTCTTTCTCGAGACGGCTCCTGGTAAAAGAAGTTGTGGTACTGCCGACTTTTTCAGTATTGTACTCTGTAAACGGTTTTCCCATAAGAGAGATCAGAAGTTTCCACACTTCTCCACGTTTTCAAGCTGCTCCAGTTCCTCTCTTGTTGATCATTCTTAAGCCTGTGCAGAAACTACTTGCAGTCATTGTAGGCAGGTAAAGTACATTTAAAAAAATAAACTTTTGTATTAAAAGCTGTTTGTAAAGCTACACTTAAAAAAAAGCAAAACAAAACTTGTTAGTCCCCCCCCCACAACATTTAGGTCAAAATTAAGTTTCTAAACAGTTGGTTCTACCCAGTTTTGTTATGTATGATTTAATAATCTTGAAACAATTTACTCCATAGTTGTTCATAGTGTAGAAATGTGATCTTTGAAAAATTATATATATATATATATATGTATATATATAATAGGAATTAAAAAAAAGGATATTATGATTATATGAAAAATTAGAAATGTTGATTGTAACTCATGTAGAAGAACATTATTTACAAACGCTCCTTTTTAGTTTGGAAATTTGAGGCAGTGAATCACAAAATGGAGGCTCTTTTGGTGCTTATTTAAGAATAGGCTCTCTCCTAACCAAGTTAACTCTCAAACCATTAATACTTAACTATTTTTTTCTATTCTGTTTTCAACAGATCTTTATTTTCTCTTTGTAGTCCTGTATAATAATTAATATTTTTGCAGCTAAATTGTACTTTATATTTAACTTAGTTCCCTTCCCCCCTATCATTAATCCTGTGTTCTCTTATTTGATACTTAAAGATTGAGGAATGCTAAAGTTAATTATTGTCTTTTCATAAAGCTTTTTATGTTTGATAACTATCAAGACCCTTCTTACTTCCATACTAACCAATCTAATTTGCTTTTTATCAAAAATCAAGAACTTCTACTTTGTAATTTACTGTCTTGTTTATGATTTGGCTTTGACACCCAGAAAATGTACAGTTACATTAGTTCTCAGTTTATGTAACTATTGCATCCCAGTTTCTTGGTACAATAGCTCTTTCTGATTTCTGATGGGTTCTTTCTCACATGGAATGGCTGGTGGGTTCGAACCACTGACCTTTCAGTTAACAGCTGAGTGCTGAACTACTGCACCACCAGGGCCCCTTCATTTCATTTAATTATTTATTTTTACCCTTTTTTGTTGTTGTTAGTATTGTCACTCACCTAAAATTTCTTTTTAAAGTATGCTTTATATACATTTTAAATAAATAATAAATCACATAAAAATCTAAAATAGGGAATATGTATACTTCATACTTTAGTTTATGTCACTTCAGGTTGAAGCATTACCTAAAGGCATTTCAGGTGTGTCACTTAACAAAATTAAGATACTTTAAGAAGCTAAAATCCTACATTTTCTTATTTATAGTGCTCATGTTTTTATCACCTCTCCTTTTTCATGTTCTAGAGAAGATGGTGGACTTTTTGCTAGTGAGCTATATTTATTTCTAAAATCAGCACTGAAGTGGTTTCCCTTATACCTTGTTGAAGCACTGGCACATTGTGCTAGCAGTCTGATGAGCAGTGGGAAGAATAGTCATTAAAGGTATAGGTTTATTGTAATCCCCTCAGATGTTTGTTTGGGAAATTCATCCCATCTGAGTAAGTAGTGGTGAAGTGCTCAAACTCTGGAATGAGATTACCTTCATTAGTTGTTCCTCTTACTACCGGTGTGACCTTGGATAAATTTGCCTAACTGCTCTATGTCTCATTTTCCTCATTTATAGTAGGGTTATTATGAGGATTAAATGAGACAATATATGTATAACAATTAGAAAAGTACTTTGAAGTAAACAGTCAATAAATGTTAATTAGAGGTAATTGCAGTAATTGTAAAGTAACTCCTCATATAGTGTTTACTTTTAAGATAGTTGAAGAAAATTCAAATGAGTATTAGAATTTTTAACTATACCTCTATATGGTTGATTAGGTTTTCATCATTTAGCTAAGAATTTTATAAATTGAAAATGCCATCTATACAGAGAAATATGTTATAAAAATTCAAGGTATTTGATGACAAAATCCTAGTGTAAGCATTTGAGTTTTGATAATATGTGCTGATACTACTTTGAATTTTCTTTTGGCTCTAGGGGCATAAGGAAATGGTGGCAGGCACTTCCTCCTAACAAGAAGGAACTATTTAAAGAAAGTGTGAGGAAGAATAAATGGAAGTTATTCCTTGGTTTGAGTAGTTTTGGATTGCTGTTTGTAGTGTTTTATTTTACTCACCTGGAAATGAGCCCAGTCACAGGAAGAAGCAAGCTGCTATTATTGGGGAAAGAACATTTCAGACTTTTATCAGAACTGGAATATGAAGCAGTAAGTAGTAAGAATTGTTTTTAATTAGATTGCTTAATATAAGACTCAATGCAGGAAATTTTCTTGAATATGAAAGATGCACTGCTTTTTTATTTTAGTTTTCAGCATTTTTTTTTCCAATAGGCCTTGGACCTTTCACACTCAATCTTCCACTGCCTACATTGCTTTTCCTTCCTTTCACCCAACTAACTCCTACTATTCACATGTCAGTTTAAATGTCACCTTCTCAGGAAAGTCTTCCTTGATTATCTAGACTGGGTTAGTCAGGGCTGCAGCATTAGGCTCTAGGGGGTATCCTTCATACAGATTTAATTATGAATCAGCTCATCTGCAGTTGGGCCCAGTGCTTGGCTAGAATGGGGTTAGGTCTGTTTGTTATATTTTCTCTTTGCATTCTGTATTTTTCCCTCAAAGTACTTATCATGAGGGTAACATAATTATTTGTATAATTATTATTTGCTGGTTTGTCTCCCTTATTAGACTAAGCTCCATGAGGGCAGGAACTTTGTCTGTTTTATCATTTTATTTGAACTACTAGCACAGTGCACTTGTGAAAAACCAGTTGCCATTGAGTCGATTTCAACTTACGGTGACCCTGTGTGTGCCATTGTAGAAACTGTGCTGCATAGGATTTTCAATGGCTTATTTTTCAGAAGTAGATCACCAGGCTTTTCTTCAGAAGCGCCTCTGGGTGGACTCAAACCTGTAACCTTTCAGTTTGCAGCTGAGTGCATTGACCGTTTGCACCACCCAGGCATTCCACAGTACACATAGTGGGTGCTTATTATATATTTGTTGAATAAATCGATCTGTAGTTCGAGTTTTTATATCTTGAAAGTAATATTGTTGAATAAGATACTTTTTTCCCCCAACACCAATTATGACAATTTATTATACTTCTTGAATATAAAATAAAGTTGGAGTTCAAAAGCCTTAACTCCTTGGATAGTATACCTCTGGTAGTTAAACGTTCTGTACCACTAGTAAGTTCCTTGAGAATAGAGGTCATCCTGTCTCCAGTGCGTAACACATACAAAATATGTGTTCAGTTAATATTTGTTGAATTGACATCTCATAGTCTCACTTGACAGCTTTGGCATGATTAGATAACATCTTTTCATTCCAAATGGAAAGTTATCATTAAAAAAAAGAAGTAATGATTATTTTTCACTAAAAAGATTGTTCTTTCTTAATGAAGAAAAGACCAGTCTGTTCCAGTGGAGTCAATAAAGAGTTTGGAAATGTTTCTTAGAATAAAGTCAGAGGTGGACTTCCGGGCAACATGGCGCTATAGATAGAAGCACCACGCCGTCCCTTCACAGCAAAGATCTGGAAAACTACATGAAACAGACACAGACATCAGTCCTGAACCCCTGAGCATCAAATGAAGAGATAAAGAACTCAGCCAAGCACCGAATGGAAAAAGAGACTGATAGAGAACAGAGAGTGAGGAGACGTATGTGCAGAGGTCCCCTATCAGCTAATGCAGCATGGATCCGCCATCTTGGACTCCTGTCGGAGATCAGCGAACAGGGAGTATGGGAAAGCAGCTTCATAGAGCTCCCAGCAGGACACAGAACAACCGGTAACCAGCGATATATGCTTTCCCACC